TCCCTTTTTTTTTTTTCCTTCGTTTCTTTACATACAATATATTGCTGCCGATATTAGAAAAAGTGTGAGTGTCCACGAGCGTCCCGAAATGTATACATTACGTATATATATATGTTTCCAAGTTCCATGAAAAAAAAAATCGGCGCACGCAGACTATTATTCGTTATCGTTATTATTATTATTATTATTATTAACAGGATAATCGCTATTTTATTTCGTTAGAAATTGCGTTGGTTGTCTCTGTTTTAAGTGTTTATCGATACGATTTGATTATCAACGGTTCACACGCAGAGAATTTTCTTTGCGGCAAGGCTCCTCTTCCCCTCGCACGACAACCTCGTATTGGAATATCTTACTAGATTAAATCGTCTCTTATCGCTCATTTTTTTTTTTGTCATCGCGGAGCATCAGAGCATCGATCGTGTTCTCGATCGATCACGTTACGAAATAGCTCGTCTCTCTTTCTTCCTCCATTCTTTCTCTCGCTCTTTCATTCTCTCTCTTTCACTCTCACTCTCTCCCTCTCTTTCTCTCTGTCAGTTTTCTTTTGTAATCTCTCTCTCTCTCACATTCTCCACCTGTTCAACTTGTACAAAAGCTAAGGCAACTTTTACACGCTATCTTCCCTCGTCGTTTTCTCCTCCTTCTCTTAGAATTCTCCACGTTCGTCGAGTTAGTCTTGACGTTTTCGATTCCCGTCTTCACCCCGCCGATCTCCGATAAGATCCACCAAAGCACCTATCGCAATCGCGAACAAAAAGATCTGGGTCTCGTCGGATCGATCCATATTTTCTCCCCCTTTTCCAATCGTTCCTTTCGGGACACGACGAGACGCAGCTGCCGACACGCTGGCGCGAATTATAAAGGAAAAGTAAAACTGAGAAGCAAATCCGAGGATCCTCTGAACGTCGCGTAAAATGCTCGAGCGAATGTCTCGCGTTCAGTTGTCAGACGTGTCAGCTCGCGAAAGAAGACGATGGACCGGTCCTGCCGAGAAGTCCACGTTAATTCCCCAATCGTTCTTTCCCTCCCCCTTTTTTTTCTTTTTTCTTTTTGTACAAAAGAGCCTCACCACCACAGCTCGGATATATATATATATATATACATCGTGACGCGACACACGTTTCTTATTTTCTTTCGTCGCGCTGCACAACAACTCTCCTTTATTATGCCATAAAATCTCAAACGGAGACTTCGGTGTCCCCTTTTCGAAAAATACAAAAAGAAATCCCGCGAGAGAGGTTCCTCCGCGGGATCGATACGCGACCGATCCTCGAGCCGGGTCGATCGTTCGCGCGCGCGCACCATTTCCACGCGAAACGGTTCCTCAAAAAGGGATTGAAGTGAATCAAGTCCAACGATAGATTCGCTAATTCATGGAATGATCGATAGTTTCAAATCTCCTCTAATCCTGCTCCGAACGCGCGCAGAAAATAGCAAAAGAAAATTCTCTTACTTAGGAATATCCATTGGATTTGTTTCACGCCAAAGAAATTCGCCCCGCGGTACACGCGAGCACCGCATGGTTCCCTTCTTCTTCCGATGCTCCAAGGTATCCGCTAATTGTCAAGACGTAAACTCGTGCAGACGAGAGGGAGACAGGCGGAATAAAGACGAACGCGGCTTCGTCGTCTAATGGAATTAGAGTTGACAAGTTTCCAGTCGGCGTTGCGCAGCCTGTCCGCGCGATCACGTTCCGGTCGAGCGATGCCAAAGCGTAGAGATATTTCGCTGGCTCGCAAAAATAGAAACGTCTTGTCCAACTATTATCGTACACCGACTGTATCACAAAAGAGATTCTCCCGTGTGCACGAGTGAACGTCTGTTCGTCTTCTTCGTCGACGAATTCGAAAGAGCAGAAGCCACGGCGATCTCGTTTCAACGATCGTCGAGAGATCGCCGAGGCTTCGACGCCTTCCGAATCGTTACACCGCGATATAATATTTATGTATATAACATACGCACGAATATATTATAAATAATCAATTAAAGGTTTGTTTTCAAAGTAAGTAAAAATATATAGATATATAATATATAGTATGTGTAAGGTCGCAAAGGAGCAAAACGCGTGGGTAAGTCGATTACAGAGCAAGTGTCTTGTTTTAACGTGAGAATATTCGTGATAATCGAGCGAGGAGATAATAAGGAACCTAAGGAAACGAACTTAGCAAAGAAGTGCTGTAATTGCAAGGAGACTGGGCATTTTGCAGCAGACTGCGCGAAACTAGGCACGGAGAGCGAGGATCTCGCTTCAACTATGAGAAATTTGGGCATCGAGCGAGTCAATGCAATCCTCGAAAGAAGTTTTCCACTTGGACTTACACTCGAGAGCCAATAAAGCCTCGAAACTCTCATTCTTAATTTAGAGACGGTGAATAGATCGTAGATCACGAAACCGAAACGAGAGTCACTTTTTAACACGTTCAGGACCACGTGAATCACCTGTGTTTATCGACATGAGCCATCAGTGGGTCGTTCAGAACGACGGCAAGAATTGCCATTTTGGTGGATCGGCAAATTTTCAAGTTACATACTGAAAAATGAAGCATTGGCGATAATACACACTTCGGTGATAAGAAACGCTGGCAATAGTAAGAGTTTCCTGAATTTCACTGCCGTCCTGAACGTGTTAAAGGTAAAAGAGGACTCTATTCGAGCAAAATGACCCAATTTTGAAAGACATAAACGTGGAGGGCTGTTGTGGTCTAATTTTTAGTGTTCGCCAACGTTTGCTAATTTTTATTATTCAACAAGCGTCGTGAATATCGCCGCTGCGACGAGACAAATAACGCTGAAATCGACGTATCTACGCATTCGGTACTTTGCGACCTTACATATAAATATATATGTATATACAATATATATATATATATATGTTCATATATATTTTCTTCCGTTTTCCTTCCTACATTCTTGCGGTTTTTTTTTTTCTTTTCGTCACACTCCCACGTCATGTATTTTCTCGCCACCAAATGTATCTCTCTAACTCGCTGTTTTTCTGTTTTTTTTTTTGTTTTCTACTTTTCTTTAAATCGTGCACGCGAAATTGCACCTGCGTGTACATTGTATTTTCTTTCTCTCTGTGTTTTACAATATACGAAAATTGTGTGTATGCGTGTGTGTGTGTGTTTGTGTGTGTATCACGTTGCAGCGGCGCATTTGAGAGAAGGACGACGAGAGGCGCGAGTCGCGCGAGAAACACAAAGGCAATAACCCGCGATCTGGAACAAAGTGTGTGTAAACGAAGGTTCTACCCGCCGTAAGAAAAAAGAAAGAAAAAAAAACCACGAAGGAGGAACCAAACGGCGGTTCGAAATGTCACTTGTATGTGTGTGTGTGTGTATGTGTGTCTGGCTTTGCATCTTCTAATTTAAGAAAACAAGTCTTTGATCTCCGACGAATCCGATTTGCCATGCGAATGTTTTCATCGCGGACCACGAACTCGTCGCCACTGCCGCTGCAGTTGGTCGTAACACGTAAAAAGTCACGATTTCGTCATCGAATCGCGCGTTTCCTTCTATATTCTGGTCGTTAATTATCACCGCGACAAGCGGTTTTGCCTTATACCATTCTAAACGATCCATTTGAAATTCTAACGTTGCCCCCCCCCCCCCAAAGCTTCTACGATACAAATGTTTTTACCGATGGTCGTATATTTCTTTCTTTCTTTCTTTTCTTTTTTTGTATTTTTATTAATTTTTTCTTCTTCTCCTCAGTCATGCAAAATGGTAACATAATTGAAAGCAACTTTAGAATGGAGAATTATATTTGTCGAAGTAATGTACGAGGAATGCGGCGCGATTCGATGACAACACGGGGTATTAAACAACGATCGAATACTGCACCTGCACGCGATTGGACGATCACGAGAACCTATGTATATATAAGCCTATCAGCGCCAGGGCACTTAATTCTTTCTTTCTCGTATAAAAAACCTAAGCTACCTAAATCTACGGTAATTCGAAGCCTTTAGGATGAGCAACGAGCCTTTCTCTTTTCTGTAACAATCTTCTTTTTTCGGTTTCTTTTTTTTTTTTTTTTGCCATTTATTTCGTCTCTTTTCGTCGGTTTCCTCGAAATTCGTCATCCTATACCTCACGAACGAACGAACGAACGAACATAAAAGAAATAAGATACAAATACCTCGTCGCAGCTCCCGACACTTTCAATCACACGAGATCGTGTATCCAGCTCGCATCCATCGATCGATATAACGCACGTTTCGTTTCTTCTGACTATAATGCGGTGGCGAGAATCACAGAGTAACGATGATAACGAGAAAAACGGCGATTTTCTTTTTGCTTCGGCACGAGTGACAGAGAAAAACAAGGAACCATGTTTGTTCGCGAGAATCGTCCTCGATACACTTTTGCGATTACAGACCGCAATGTAATACGCAAAATTTCTCGAGTATCGATTCCACCGCGATCGATTCTCCCGCCATTTTTCTCGTTACCGCCAAAACCTGCCAGACACTTGCCACCTTTTGAGATCATTCAAAGGGCATCGTGAGTTTTAATTCATCGAACGAGAAGGATATCCCTCCTTGAGATCGACGGGAACGTCGTTGTTTCAGCGTGCAGACTGATTTTATCGATATTCTGTGGAAAAAGGAATATAGATGAAATCGTGAAAAAGAAACGTGGCCGACGTCCCGCGCAATTTCGAGGTTAGGAATACGTCGAATCGAAAGAGCGAGGAGGCACGACGAGACACGCGTCTTGACGCAGCGTGTACAAAAAGACAGTACCGATCGATCGAACGTAAGGAATTACGATTAATAAAATTACGAATGGCTTTTGTACAAACGATCGCACAAGGTAATCCTTATCGTTTACACAATTCTATTTCGTCGACGTTCACGCACATTTAAATTCGACGATTACACGCTTCGTAAACTCTAAAGGAAAGAAAAAAAAAATAGTAGTAGTAGTAATAGAAGAGGAAAAGCGAAAATCGTAAAAAGCGATTGGAAAATAATAGACACGATAATATATATGTATATATATCTCCTTTCTCGGCAATCCGAAAATCACAGACAATATATGTTTAACCTCGCGAGAAACGATCCTACTATATCTTTCTCCCTCTCTTTTTTCCCCTCAATCTTTCTGTCTTCGGGTACACACGTGTTCATCTGTCACGCACGTAGCCTACACAGATCTGGCACAGCACTTTGACATCTAACGTACTTACATAAAAAAGCTCCCGCGCATCCGTGTAAAATTGGTTTTCCTCATTTTTTTTTCTTTTCGTTGTGATGAAAGTTCGAAAGTGTCGGCGGGCACACGTTTAAATCGAAAATCGAGCGGAAGTAGTTAGTTAATAATTGAAGTGTGTCGATACGAGCCCTTTTATTTTTTCTTCTTTTTCTTTTTCGTCGAAGTCGTTCAACTGTTCGATATAGACGCCGCTACATACACACTTTTAATTATTATTTATAAATCGCTACAAAAACCGTCACGTAAAAGCATCCTGAAAGGCTCGTTCGTATCTTGCGTCTAATTATATACTCTAGTATCACTGACAAATATCTCGTGCTTCCGTTAAGTGACATTTACGACGTAAACAGTGCCCGCGCATTTACAAAAAACGGAGGTCTTGGAAAATATCCACAAAAAATATCGAAGAAGTCAGAAGTACAGCGGTCTACAAAAAGAGTGTTCTGTTTGTTTTATCCGTTTCAACCCCCTACTTGGAAAGAAACGGATGCGTCCATCGTTCTTATTAGTCGTTAGATTAGTATACATGAAATTTGTCCTCGAAAATGCAACTACCCTGATTACCAATCGAAATTGCGAGTAGTTTGAGCGTAGTCAGACTTATGTTTCGTTCTGCAGTATCGTGTGTGTGTGTGTTCCGTTTCGTCCGTCAAATTGCCTGTAAGACTAGATATATGCCTCTGTTATTCTGACGTATTCGATCGAATAAGTGTACCAACACCCAAACGATTCTTTCTCCCTTTCTCCATCTTTCTCGAAGAACAAACTGACAGCAGAAAAACCATTTCCGACGTTTTATCATGGTCTCGCGCACGTGCCAAAGTTAATTTTCGAGATGATCGTCGACAAGACCTGTCAAGAAGGTCTAAAGACCCTGAGACACTAATTGTAAAACCTACGCAGTGTGTATATCTAAATGTATGTGTGTCTATGTGTCTATGTGTCTGTGTGTCAATGGTCCTGTCGACCGAAGCAATTGTTTTAACTGCGCCACGGTAACATACGTACATTAATTACCTTATAAACTATAGCTTCTGAGGATTACTACCGCTACCACTACCAACGTTTCTTCTCCGTTTTATCTCCACTGTACTTCGTTTAAAAGGAAGCGTTTAACCGCTTCCCTCCTATAAAAATGGAACGATCAATTTGTCGCGCGTTAGTTTCTTTCAAGAACATACCACCGTACCGACATTAAAACGAATAGGAATACCGCGAAACTCGCAGTTATTGGTTTTCTTTTTCTATTGCTAAATCATACCTCGGTGGTAACCAAGAAAACTTGCGTGCACACAACATGCACCCTAATATCATTTTGTGAAGTCCGACGACAATCGGTAATCAATACACGCGAGCATGTTACTTGTGCGGCATGAAATGTTGATTCTCGAGCGGACGTGTTAGCTGTAGCTGGTTCTGCGTGTGCATCTGCATCTGCAACTGCATCTGTTGAGCCTGTAACTGTGCCAGCGTTGCGAGCGAGGCAAAAGCCGGATAAGCTAGAGTCGTGTTTAGACTCTCGTTGTGTTCTTCTAGAGAATTCTGAGCGTAATGTAGCACCAAGTGTTTTAAACTTTTGTGGATGTTGTACGGTTCAGCGAATCCAAAACCCCGCTCGGTACCGTATATTATGCAATGATTCACCGTACCGTTACACCTGTAACAGATCAACGAATAAATTGCAATTTATTTTCTGCGTGGATACTTGTGAAAGAGAAACTGTAGGAGACTACGACGAATCTACACGTACATGATGGAAAGCGCATACTGTCCAGTTCTCGACGTTCGAACAAGGAAAGTACCGTCTGGCCTATCGGCAAGAGTTCGATCGGCTTCGGAACGAGAACATTCGAGACATAGCCACGTCTTCTCGTCGGAATGAACTTCTAGGTCTACCTCTTGAAGATCTCCATACGCCAGGTCACCCAGTACAGGATTCGACAGCGAATGATTCAATACGAGCTGGTTTATCTTGTTTTGTTTGCCGTTCTTTTTTAACCACCTGTAACGTAGAACGTAGAATACGTAGAAACGTAATTCCAAGTAAACGTATATCATTGAGAAAAGACAGAATGGTATACGCACATCAAATGTTTGTCCCTTTGACGTACGAGCTGCAACAGTTCTGGTTTCAATTTGTGCATTTCTCTCTCGAGAGTTCTATGATAGGCGATCTGTTCCTTCAAGCTACGATCTAACTGTTCCCTGCTATCTTCTAACGATTTCAATCTTCGCTTCAACAACTCGGCATTATCAGTTAATCTGTAAACGGTACAATGAAAGTTGTACGTCCGACGCAAATTAGATAAATCAGAAGCTGTTCAAAGAATATTACGTTGATATTTCATGCGGTTGAGCTTCTTTCTGGAACTTGTCTTGCAATTTCATCTGATCCTCGAACATTTTAATGGCCTCCGTGAAAGCTTCTAGCGCCTGTCGTTTCAATTGCACCTCGAAAACCGTTCTATTGTACATTTCTGAAAAATCTTTATACTCTTTCAGCGCGTCCGTTATCTCTTTGTCCAGTTCGACATATTTCTGGGCAACGTTCACCATATCTGTTGTACTAGCAATTTCGTCGTCCTGGTTCACACGGAAGAATCAAGTTAACCAAAACCATAAAGCAACATTCGTACCAAACTTTATTACCATCGAAAGCGTGCAAATGTTCACATAAATATCACCTGCTGAAACCGAGATACAGGATACAACAATTTAATATCCAACGTGGAATTATACTGCGCCAGGGAACAGTTCCTGTAGTGATCCACCAGCTCGATAACCGAATGAAAGTTATACGGCTCCGAGAAACCGTATTTTCCGTTCCGTTGACAAATCTTGATAAGCTTGTTGGTCCCACCTTTACGCAATGTTAACGTGTACTCCCCACCTTTCGAGGATGCCTCTCGTACCAAAAATGTACCATCTGGCGAATCGATCATTTTCTCGTTCACTTCGTCCCTCGTGATGTCTCCCCAATACCATTCTGCCTCTTGTAGCGTTCGTGGCCTGTGTTCGACAACGATACACAGTTAGCATAACTCGTCAACAATACACCAATTTAACGGAACAAGTGTCAAGAAACGATCGTTCACCTATGAGGTTGTTGTGGCTCCTTGGTTTCGGAAACAGACGTCGATCGTTCCATGGAGGTGTCTTCCTCGAGGACGGGGAATGGATCTAAAACAGGAAACTGCGGCCTCGAAACTTTCCGCGGAGGTAATTGCGGTTTACTCGCGAACTGTGGCAGTCTCTCGTTCCAATCGCCGTGTAACAGTAAGATTTCTATTATGCGTATATGAGCCTCGATGTTGTGAACGATCTGCCTGTAAATCGACGATTGTGAAAATACAACAAAACAACATCGGAATAACTACGATCTGTACGACGATCCTTACAAGATCCTCTCCCAAGGAGGCCTGACGAAAATATGACACAGCACTTGTATGAGAATTGTAGGAGGTTCCGTGTACCCTCTGCCGTGTTGTAACTGACAAATTCGACAGAAATGTGCCATCAAATGGAACAAAGTACTACGGTGATGTTCCGGAAGGTCCGCGATGAGCTGTCCAAGCCTTGCTGCACACTGTTCGTCATTCTTCGTGTCTGGATATCGTAAAAGAAGGAAAATCCTTGTAAATTATGCAACGAAAGAATATAGATACATAATACAAATACTACACTACTACTTACGGGAAGCTTCTATAAATCTGTCGTAAAATAAGACAGGAATCACAGGATCCGGCAGCTCTCTGAGAAACTTCTTCAACACGCTGGCTATACACTGAGGACTATACGTATTCAAATCAGGTGTACACACGTCTGAAAGAGAAGAGAGAGAGAGAGAGAAACGAATGTAAATACCGAAGCAAACCATCCTCGTTAACACACGTAACAATTTGATCGTTCCTTACAGATAGCATATAGATAGGTTTACCTTCGTTCAACTTCTGCCGCAATTCCAACGTTTGCTCGTTAGGAGGACTACTGTGGTAGACTTTGTACAAATCCAGCGTGCTGTCCCCGTACGCCTTCTCCTCCAGAGCACGGGTACATCGTTCGACGAGGATCGGAGCGGCACGGGACGAGCTGTCGAATTGCGAGCACAGGCCAAGACCGAATACTGCAAACGAGAAATAGCAAAGCGTTGAGAGGAGAGGAAGAAGCGTGTTGTACGCGGATTGACGTCGCTTGCAATTAACGTCGAACAAAAGAGTGTTACTTTTTCACGAGCACCATGTACCGTCTCCTCTAACGAAGTATCGGGGCATAGCAACGGAGCGTTGGAGGAAAAAAATAATAATATTCCACCGAGCTGTTATCGGTGTGCTGAGACGTGTCACACGAAAATTCATACTTACAACACCACACACCGGCGAGCGTTGAAATGGAAAAAAGCGGAGAAAAAAAACGGCGGAGACGAGCGATAAGAAGGAGAAGAAAAGGAAAAAAAAGAAGAACCACGGAGCTCTCTACCTTTCACTGTTCTATTTATCGCCACGACCTCTAAGCCTTAAGGACTTGGTCGGTTCTTTCTTTCGTTACCGGCGCGATGAGCGCTCGGCGTGAGAGAATTGTTCAAACGAGCGGCCGATAAATACAACTTTCATTTGTTCGGTACGCGGTCGGGGCGCGAGAACACAGCTGCGGAAACGGCGAGAGGAGGCGGCCGTTGTCAAAGGGAACGAGGAGACAGCCAGGAACGTGGAAGAAAAAGCGTGTGCACGCAAGCAAACAGGTGCAGGTAAAAAAAAAAAAGAAGAGGAGAGCATCGTCTGGAGTCGTTGACCCACGAGGCGAGAGAGACCAGGGAAATAATCGCGAGACGAAATTAATTGGCTGTGTAAATTAGCGTTCGCCTCCTCGCGCGGCGGAACAACCGGGGCGAGGGAGAGACGTGAGCGCGGGGGCGGATCTCCGCGAGAGATTCGTCGGTTTTTATGGCAATGCCGCGAGGAAAAAATTTCTGACATCTCGCAGACGCATTCCAGTCGCGTCGAGGAAGAATCAGAGAGAGAGAGAGAGAGAGAGAGAAGGGGGGACCATGGGAGTGTACGAGAGAAGATTCCTCCTTTCAGGCTGAATTCAGGAATTGTCAGGGAGAAGTGCAGTTTTCTGCAATTACGTAAGGATGTATTTAAAGAGGGATCTCGCTACGAAGCGAAGATCGACATCGAGAGTGTCTATGGACCTGTGGTAAGCAGGTTGTCGTAAGGTCGTTTCCACGAGTTTCGGTCTTCCGGATCTCCACCACGACGCATGGCCGTCGTACCGCACCTCGCGAAAAGAGGTGACGAAAAGTATTTTCGAGCGCGAAGCGAGTCGCGCCGTCAATACCGCATACGCCACTTGCACGACCAAAGGCGTGTACGCATGCATTATAAGAAGGAGACCGAGAAATAGAGAAAGAGAGAGAAGGTGAAGGAGGATGAGACGGAGAAGAAGACGAGAGACGAGCAGGAGGGGAAGGAGAAAGAAATTTATTTTTACGACCGCGACAGCGACGTCTTGTTTCTTCATGAGCATATCTTCTGCGGGTTCGAGGGACGGGAGAAGAGGAAGAAAATAATCGGAATTAAAAGGCGAAGCTCTCCTTCTAGCCTGGTGTGATACCGACGCGACGTACAGAGGCGAATTGAACATGGTCGTGGATGGAGGTCAGAGCCAGAAATTCGATATTCGTCACGGTTGTTGGGACAATCGGTTGGTTGGTCACCGGGTCTCTCCTCTCTCGGTTGAAAGCTGCAATATCGACGAGGCAAGCACCACCGCGGCAACGACGCCATAGAATTCGAAACGAGGACGTTCCGATTTTACGAGGAGTACGTGGAAATGCTTTTATTGTCGGAGAGGAGCACCTCTCCTCTGTTGCACTCTCAGCCACGGTAAAACGCCCAGGCCACTTTAACTCCTCCTCTTTGTATACACACACGTCCACGCTCTTTCTCTCCTCTCTTGGTAGCGCGAAACTTTCCAAAGCACGCCAACAGATTCGAACCGAAACGATCCTATTTTACGCGGGTGAATTTCATAAATAACGCCGCGACCCTGACCATTGGCGCCGTTTCGCGATTCCCCAGCTGCTTCTTCGTACGTGCCTGCGTGCGTGAGTAAGCGTATATGTACGTAGTGTCCCATCGCGTGGTGGAGGAGGAGGAACGCGACCGACAAGTTAATGAAACCGAGCGACACGCATGCACGAGAGAGTAAGAGAGAGATAGGCATTTATCCCGAAGAGGACGATAGAGGACGATAGAGTTCTCTCGTTCGGTTTTATCGATTATACAGTCGTCTGGTCGCGCGATGACAATTCCGAGAGTAGCCACGGAATTTCTCGGAAAACCGTCTACCTTCGTTCGAGGCAGGCACGCACACGTGCTGATAGGTTCACTCACATAATCTGTAGGTGTCCACCGTGCGTATACCACAGTATCGACACGATCCTCTCCTTCGCTACTCGCCGCGCCGCTCCAACTCGACCGCGACCAAAGACACAGAGGGACGAGGAAAGAGGAGAAGTGGTGAAATAACATTTTTTCCCTTCCCCCACACGAAGGCGGTCAGGCAGCGATTTACAATCGAAAGACGCATGAATATTTAGTTATTCAGATATTAGAACGACAAGTAATGCGCCACATCGTGTGTCCTTGCTGCAGCAAAACTTCATAATCGACTCCGGCGACTACACAGGCAGCGGCGGCGCGATTGCAAAGCAATTCACCGTTGGCGTGGCGCGCGGCGTTAGCGAACACGTTTCTGATGCAATCTAGGATAGTCAACTAAAGACATCTGAATTTTTAAATTGTTTCCGTGTTCCGTCCATTAACGTAACGAAGAAGTAATGGGCGTGTTACGAGCGGACCTGTATCAATGTCACATTACGAAACTGGACGCAGAGATACTGGTCGCTTGTGCCTTCTAGCGTACACACACCGCTTACTTACCTATACAGTGTTTGCCGCCCCGAGAGGCATTTGGATTTCCGCAGACTTCTGTCTTATACACCCGTTCAGCAAGTTCTATCTTACCCCCGGCTAGTCACCACCCCGAGACGGGCCCTTTCGTTACGTTGTCAGTCAAACCGAGCAAATACCCCGACGTCGACTGCCACCGCGTCCACGGGGAACCACGGGAAGGCGGACTCACACGCAAGTACTGCGCTCTGACCCTGTTGCAGGCGAATGGTTAGGATGGACGAAGAGTAGCCTGCACACCCTCACGATTGCGCTCACCGGGCTGCCTAAGCTCAGGGTGGTGGGGTCGCTAATCCCAGCGGGAAATGGCATCCGCCCCTTGCCATGCCGCGTACCAAGCAGTCCGGTACCCCGTTCCGCAAGAAGGCCTTACACCTTATTTTGGAACTTTGCCCAGGATTGGCCGCAGCGTAGTGCGTTCGAAGCTCAGGATACCGGAGGTTCGCTAGACCCCGGGTGTTCGAAAACACCCCCCTGCGGCCGAGCTTACTTACCTGGAGCAAATCTGCGGACACGATTTTCCGAGTCGACTGGCACGCAGTTGGAGGGTAAACCCGTCGCTGTACACGTCCTGTGAGCCACCAGACCGCAATCTGTCGCGGGAGAGAAACAACGGGATTAATATTAATCAAGCGTACCGAAATCTTAACCTCTTCCCTACTGAAGCTTTAGTAGTTGTGGCGACATAGGTCTTTAGGTGAAATAAATTTGCAAAAATTCTAAACTCTATATCTCGATAAGGAAAGGGTTAATTGAAGATTGGAGGCTTTCACGGCGCGGAGCATAATTGTTATCGAGGCTTTCGGGTGTAAGCAGACTGACACGGCTTATTACCGAAAGCCTCGATAATAAGAAGTACCAAGTTCCAAAGTACCGCCTCGAGAAATCTATCAGTTCGAACCTCGCGAATGATCAGCGTAAAAAGAAAAAGGAGCAAATTATTCCGCTGGTATTAATCGTCAAAATCCCGTATCACCGTTCCAAAATAAAGTAATTAAAAAAAAGAATCTTGATCGTCTTCCAAACGCCTCGAAAGAACAGCTATCTCGTTGATCTCCGCTGGTACACCGAGATGCGTCGACGTTGCACACCACGTACCTAGACAGAGAAAGCCTTGGTGCAGCAGGCCCCTGAGGTATTTATGGCACTTATCGCACTTCTCCAGCACGCTGAAGCTCTGCGGCATGAGGGTGTGCGGATTGCCGGAGGCCACGCCGCAGCTACCACCACCGGTGATCGTCTCGGTGGGTACCACGCCAGCGGAAGACGTGGTCGGCGTGGCTGGATCCGGCAAAGCAGTCGGCGTAGTTGGCGTGGCTATCTGTTGTTCCTGCAACGTGGCCGACGTCGCCGGTTTACAGAGCTCGTCGATACACGCGAGTATCGTTCTCTGGTGGAAGTCATCCTTGATGCCCATATTCTGCAAAGAAGAAAAACGAGCCATCGTACATACGGTGATCGTTCACCACTGACTGAAATGCTCCTTTATCCGTGGCGTTACCTTACGGGTGCAACACAACAAGCCACAGTGTTCACTTTCGCGTTACGTCGCGCCGTAAATACATCACCTACCGCTATCTCAAACTTTACGGGGGCCGTTGGCGCGTTCCCGCCACGCAAAAAAGAAGCTCGCTAACGACACGGTACAGTTATGAACTGGCGCGATCGTAACGCGAGAAATATGGCCGGCGTAAAAGTCGCTCCATCGCGCTGTAAGCCCAAGTCTGCACGAGGGGCTAAACGCCTTCCACCCTTTTCGACAGAGGTATAGTCGGTGGAAGAGACATATAGGGAGGTAGTAAAATTCAACGTTTACAACGAATCGACCGAAACAACGTGAGGAGGCAAGGAGCGAAATTGAGAATCGCGTCAACTATGACTTCATGCTTCGATTTGCCACGTCGCTATATTTATTACCTCGACTATACCTTCAATTTCTTGCGCGTTTACTTGTGCGAGCGTACGGATAAGAGAATCGACCCAAAAGTGCGAAGATAAGAACCGAAATTGAAGATCGCGTGAACTGTGCCTGAATGCTTTTACATTTCTTTCATCGACTATACCTTCTTACGCTTCTTAATAGTATGAAAGTAGAGAGGAATGGAATTTTGCAGAAGAGAAAGATCGGTGAATTTGTCTTCGATTCACCACCTCGCTATATTTCTTTCACCGACTATACCTTTTCGCGCTTATTAGTACCAATGTCTTAGGCATCAAAGTTTACGTTTGAGAGCGTATGGATAAGCGAATCGACCGAAAAGCGAGAAGATAAGGACCGAAATTAACGCCTCAACTTACCTCGCTATATTTCTTTCACCGTCTATACCTTCTCGCGCTTCTTATCGGTACCAAACTAGAGAGCACTCGAATTCCGTCGAAGAGAAAGATCGGCGAATTCGCGTTCCGCGGCAAGGAGACCGTATCGTGTGTATGACGTAAGAGACAGAGGGACGATGTTACGCGACACGCGGCCTCGTAAAAGGGTGAACGCGTCGTGGTCTCCGAGTCGGGACGATCGTAATTTATACGTGTCGTAACGTCTCTCGCGACTGACATCTCGTTCTCCCCGTGCACAGTTGATTCCCGAGTCAACAGGTGTCAGGTACACACACGCGGTAAACACCTGTGTGCACAGCACCGGTGCACAATGCACAGCGTGGACAAACGCCGGATGGGACTCTCTTGGCTGGATAATCGCGAGTGATCTTTCATTCGGTACGATTCCGAGCTTTCAACTACCTACGTTTTCTCTAATTAAATTCGAAACTACGTCGTTTCATATTCCGCAGGTGTACGGAAACATTGTTGTCGCGTTCCTGGGTAATTATTTTTAGGCGAAATAAATAATCCTTGGGAATTCGAACCTCGAAATATTACGTAAAGAGGAACCGTAACTATAAATTGAACGAAGGAAGTAAGAGAAAAAAAGAAGGTTGGCTGCTCGTCTTGCCGCCACCCACTGGATCGAAGGATCTAACCGCTTCCGGCCAGGCTGTGTGACGCAGATTTTTTCCCGTATTATGGGTACTCGGGTGCACGCGGGCTATTTTAAAATGCGACTGCGAACAACGTGTTTCCCCGGCGCCACGGCGCGCACTAGGCCAAACGTGTTTTATTCTTAGCGCGGCAAAAGCGAAGAAGAATCGATGTACACGCGTATTGTAACATGTCCAGACGGGACCGCGCGCGACCGTCAAAATCTGACGCGTAATTATTTTATTTCGCGTCGTCCGAACAGCGAGCCAGCTTTTCTCAAAACGAGGAGAGACCAGACGGGGGAGAGAAGACTTGGCGGATCGGCGAGAAATAATTTGCCAGTTCCGTGGCCACGGCAAAAAAACGCTCGACGACGGGAGAGAGAGCGCAGGATTTTTGCTCGAATCAGCGAACGAGATAAGGGGCCACGGAGTAACGCGCAATTTATCAAGCTGACACCCGGCGTCGAGTGTTAATTATGCGCGACGCATCAATCCTGCGAGTTTTTTCGGCGCTGCCGCCGGAAGATACGCGACGCTAGGTGGTCGTTAAATTGTTACGCTCCGTCGTCCGGAAAGAAAGACGCGAAAGCGTCGTCGCCGTGACCAAGATTGCGCCGCGTTGATTTATTTTCAATCACCCACACGTAGAGAATGTGTCTCCGATTAGGCGGAACAGCGTTAATCCCTTAAAGCGCACTTTTTAAAGGAACAGCTTTGTTTGTGAATCATTGGGACGGAAAATAGAGTACTTTATTTCGGTAAAATGTAGGCACAATAGCTACGACAGTTCTAAATTTCAAAGCAAGGTGCAGTACGCAACTTTTCTTCTCCTTTTTCCACTACCGTCTCATTGTACGCGGTATCTTGTTGCAAAAGTGATTAAAATCCAGGTTAAATTATGCAAACGCTAAAATAGTAATTCTTCTTTCACATAATAACGAGATTATTTCATTGCGCAGAGGAGCGCGCACCCTCTGTCGTTGCCGTCCTTTCGAATTAATTCGAGCGCGATTGTCAGGGGGTTGAATTCGAAGGATTATAATTAGCAAAACGCAGGCTGCGCGAGTGTGGATATCTGAAAGTTTGCCTAAGGTATCGGAGAAGGATCGGTGGAGGTGCGTTTACCTTCGTTCGAGGCTTGAATATCCGGCGCGAAGGACGAAGCGAACGGGAATCGGACGATATCTTGCGCCGAAAGGACACTTCCAGACGATTTACGAGTCGATTAGCATGGTAATACGCGATTTACGCCCGGAGAAGCCTTGGCCAGACGGGTATTTTTATTCTTCTCCGATGGAACACGACCGTTCGAGAGAGAGAGAGAGAGAGAGAGAGAGAGCCGCGTCGTGACTAAATTTGCGAAAGATCCTTCGCCAGGACTTGGAGGAGGGACTCGTCGTCCTAATAGGATGGGCTCTCCTCTCGCGATCGAGGAACAGGTTGCCACAATTTAAACCACCAAACCAGAACTAAAAATACTCGAAATAGTCCAGGCTCTTTTCACTCGATCCTCACGCTCTCTATCCTCTTCGAGAAACTCCAGAAATATTGTTCTCGGCAAAGTGGCAGATGTTCGAGATAAAACTGAAGTGGCCTACGATACTTCATCCACCTCACGAAGTCGTGTTCCGAGATAACGAGAGTGTATCCGTGATAATTAATGAAAAATTAAAAAAAAAGAACAGAAGGCAAAGGAGGAGGGGAAAGGAAATGTACAAGGAGAGGGAGGACACGATAAAGAGAGTCTCGAGTGTGGTTGTACAACAGACGGTACAGGGCAATTACAGGGTCAACGGGCCAAGGAAAACGTCGTCCAGATACTCTTGAATCGAGGTCATCGCCTTTGAGTACTAGCCAAAGAATTTTCGATCTCCCACCGTTGCGACACGTTCCCCTCGCCCGAAACGAGAAAAACCACGCAAAAATTCGCGGTCGACTACTCCCTTTCCTCCCGCCATCCGACACTTTATCGACTTTTAACGTTTCGCGATATTTCCCGGCTACGAGAGAGTCTACCTACCGATAAACAAGCGAATTCCACCAAAAAAGGAAAAGACGACAGGCTCGAAGAAGAAAAAAAATCCACTTACCATCAGCTTATCCCGGTCCAAATAGGGAAGATCGCTCCCCTTCACGTCCTTCGACTTGAAGACATCCGCATAGCGGTAGAGATTAAGGGCAGCCATCCATTCGACGACGTTTAGGGACGACCACTCGTCCACGGGCTAAACATACACACAGAGCACAGATCAAACGATCACTTCCTTTCTAAAACAAAATTCCAGACGGCGATCAAGAATGTGCGCTACTGCTAGCAGACACGGGACGGACGATATTCTCTTCGCGGTCCACGGCTGCACTCTCGACCGGGTTTTGTATTCGCGGATATCATTTCTCTTCTTCTGCACGATTGAAATTACGTAATAATCGTCGGTCGCGAATTCCACACGCCGATAAATCCCCCCGGCGATGACGCGTTTGCCATTTAACGAAAGAAAAAAGAAAAGAATTCGCTCGACGAAGAAGAACGCTTGTGCAAACAGAAGGAACAATTTGCGGCAGTGGCGTGATCGAATTCTTCGAAAAGAATTCCATTGACGTTCTTGGTAATTTCCCGAAATAACGTTTTAAACACGTGAACGAAAATTCCAGCGTGCGTCTCGTTAACCTTAATACGATTATCCCCGTTCTCCAAAGCGGCGATGCGCGATACCCAGGCGCAAGTAGATTTATCCGTGCCGTGGTCAGACGTGACGTTACGCTCTTTCTTCGTCCTCCTCCAATGAGAACCGCCACTCGTCGAGAGACTTTTAAGTTCGACCTCGCGGAAGCTCGAGTTTGAATGTCAACGAAGGACACTGCGAAGAAAACCTGTTCGCAGGTGAGGAACGAGGATGCTGTCGGCGAATTTGTCGAACGTCCATCAGAAATCTCTCCCGATTAGATATCTCGCTCGGAGGCGATGGAAAACGAGGAGGAAGATTTAGTACGTACGCGAGCATAATATTGAAAGTAGCTCTCGATAAAGCGAAAGCGTAAAAACGAAGAGGAAAAGAAAACGTAATCTTCTCGCGTAACCTTAAGTCTACGATCGTGACGACACGAGGCGAAGATAAGGCCTCCTCGTATCGCCCACTCGAGAGACGAAAGAGAGAGCGAGACTCGAGTTTGATCTCCTGCGAATATTCACGCAGCAGACGGTCGCCGAGTCGTTTCGACACCGCCACGCTTGCTTCTTCTCGCTCCACACGATTTTCTTCTCCGATTCTTCTCCCAACCTACGAGATAACGATAATCCCCCTTTAACGCTATACATGTATCTCTCTCTTTCTTATTCTCTCCTCGCTGGCCTCGCGTATTCGTCGCCAAAGTGTGTCTCTGCGTTAAAGAGACGTACGTCGATCATCGATCACGTTGGAAAAAAGGCGAAAAAAAGTTTGAACCGTGCGTTACGTAAATCTGAAAGTGTGATAAGAGAGTCGAACGAGAGGGGGGAAAATCGTCCGGCTAGAACGGTAAAATTCTACGGTGCTCGATAGAGACGTTAAGCCGGTGGTGTGTACAAAATTCGAACACGTTCGCTTGAATTTAGTAAACACAGGCGAGACAACCGGAAAACGTTATATATTCTATAATTAACTCTACGCGAGACGATTAGATCGCGTCGCCATCTAGAACCTTCAACGTGGAAAGTCGAGAGATAAAATAGTCCCTGCGACGACTAGCGGACACACGGAAAAGAAGTGCAGATGATCGATAAGAAGTCGGGAGTTGGTAATCAACGCGTGAGGTCCCCGGTGTACTAAACACGCTCTTCTTTTCTTTCCTTCCCGAAATTCGTACTTACGCATAGTTATACACCGATGGTGTGTTACTACGGTTCGACTCGTTACGCCATCGAATCTCGAGCAGCAGGTTTCGCTCTGATAACGAAACCCGGCTAGTGTTTGTGTACAAAGTCATGTTCTGAATAGACGAACGAGTTAGGAGAGGGCAAAAGAGGGAGGGAAACTCGAAGGCAGGCAGACTTGGAATACCAGGGGAACGCCGCGTCGCGCGAGCACATGTCCGCGATTTATGCAAATCGGAGAAACAGAGAGAGAGAGAGATTCAGACGTCGAACCAGTCGGTTCACCTGGACGAGAGTGTAACAGTAGCTCAGCAGGAGCAATTTTCAGTGTTAAACAGTCGGCGTCGCATTCCCTCTTCTCCTCCTCGCCTTTTCTGCGTACGAAATTAACTTGAACGCGATCGTTGGTTTGATTTACACCTCGTAACGATCGAGTCGCGACCTTACTTCGCGTCCCCCCCGCGATAATAAACCTGAACTTTGATTGTAAACAGGATCGGCGTTTGATGGAGAGAAAGAAGAATATGTACAAACAGCAGAGTTTGTTTGGAAACAGTTTTTAAATTGAAACTCGCCAACGAACGTGCCACCACTCCGATATACACACGTTAATCGGAATTCTCGCGAAAAGCTACGTTGAAAAAAATGATCCTACAAAATATTTAATATCGTGTTTGATAAGAAGTAACGTTGCTTCAATGTCAAATTTATCGACGATGAAAAGGGAAACAGATCGATAAAGAAATTAACCCTTTGGAATGAAGCGTTTCATCTGTTCCGAGGAATTTCGCGAGAGACGAGTAGTTGCGCCGACCTTCGTCTTCTCCGTGGCACGAAAGTAACGTTACTCCTGTGTGTTCATTGATCAACGACAAGGAACCAGACACACGCGCATCGTTGGAAAAAAAAAAAGAAAGGAAGAAGAAGAAGAAGAAGAAGAAATGGAAGGAATGAGTGATTGTACTGACCTTGTCCTTGTCGAGAACCATGCCCGGTAGCGCGGAACCCTTGCTACTCCATTGGCAGATGTGCTGCCCGCTGTACTCCGAGCAGACCACGTGGAAGCACGCATGGCACTCTGCGGGGCATAGAGAACCGCACATACAGCAGCACAGATTACTCCTAACCGGCTCGAGGCCGGTTTCCCCGCGCCTCAGAAGGGCGTATTCGTGACCGATTGAATCCGTCTCGACGCCACCTCCGCCCTCTGCCACTCTACTAAAACCACTACTACTCGTCGAAGGTTCACGTGAATCGCACGAACAAATCTGCCGGTGAAACGACACAATCCTGGCGCAAGGATACAACCCGTACGGCCATAAAAGCGCGAATTCCTCCGAACTAATCCACGAACTTTGCACGAGCGACGTGTCCTCGTCCTTCTGTAACGTCACGCTCGATCTGAACGAGGGAAATCTGAAGAACGGCGGCTGCAAACAGTTTCTCGGCCTCGGTAACAAGCTGCCGTCCAACAAATTCGTGAAAACACCGCGAGTAGGTGTGAACGGTTGCGTTTGGTTAACCGCAGCGCTAACTTGCTGCTGATTGTAGGAGTATCGTTTAGGTACGGGTAACGCGAGCAGTCGGACCGACTCGTGGGGTTGCTCGGTGGTGTAGACGGTAGAAGAAGAAGACGTCGTACACGTGTGACCGGTCGTCGAAGCAGTGATCGTAGAAACGGTATTTTGAAAATCGCTGAACGTCCCGTTGCTGGTGACGACCGGTGAAAGATTCGCGTGAAAGTTACAAGACGGTTGCGGTATCTGCCTGGGTGCATGGTCGCGGTGCAGTTGCAGATTCGCGTTCAGGGTGAGAGAGGTAGAGGCGATCGGTGGCATGATCGTCGGGGGCACGGTGGACGATGTAATTGTCGAGGTGGCGGTGGCGTTGGCGGTAGCAGTTGCGACGGCAACGTTCGACGAGTTGGCGCCCTTCCGTAGCATATAATTGTCCGAGTCGACGGCTAACAGGCGAGCCATGGCCGTGGACTTAGCTTTCGTGTCATCGGTCAGGCTCCCCTTAGGCGACGTTACTTTAGTCGCTTCTGTCCTGGATTTCGTTTCGGAGAGCTTCTCGTATTCCTCCTTGTCCGCACAGCCCGCCGCCGTTATCGGGCTAAAGGGATCGTGTATCCTGCCGTGTAAGCTGACCGCAGGCTGCACCTGCGAGGCAGCGGTCGCAGCTGCGGCGGATGCACTCGACGCCCGCTTCATCGCTGTGGCCGGTCACGATCATGAAAAAAGCTCCAACAAACCCACGACTAGGTTTTCTTCCACGCTTCCACGGAGGCTCTGATTCTGTTGCTGCTAGTTTCAGGTGAGTCCTGAGCCACCTTCGACCGACTCCAGTCGCCCCTCATCGTTCTCCCGAGACACTCGTGCGCCGAGATTCCCTCGGGTTCCGTTACCGGAACACACTCTTCTCTTCGCTTATAGCCGAGACTCGACAGACCGTTCTACCGATTCTACTTCTTCCACTTCCGCCGTTCGATCACTCTCGCGTAGTGAAAACGTCAATGAGCCTGGTTGCAAGGTCACTCGCATGTCGCCAACGTTCGGACTTTCTTTTTTTTTTTTTTTTACAGCTATTCCGATTGGAAAATCGTTCCAAGACGCTGTAGGGAGATAGAGAGGGAGAGAGTGTCGGTGTGTAGCTGATAGTTCGTTGATCCCCGATTACTTCTCGGATTCTCACGGCCAAACGACGACACGCGATCTTTGATTTTCTCCGTTGCTATTTCTTCTTTTTCTTCTCTTCTAGTCGTCGCTCGAATCCGGCGAGTCCAATCGCCTCCGCATCGTTAATTGCCAATCAGCCGCGGAGAAACGTGTCGTTTCATATTCGATAGTTAGCTTATCATCTGAACACGTCGATATCTTCGGGAAAGAAAAGATTCCACTTGGTATTAACACGTCAGGAGAAAGAGAGAGAGAGAAACTGAAAGAATGAGAGTATAAGAGAGAGGGTGGGAGGGAAGGAGAGAATGCCCGTCGAATTTGCAAAGGTAACCTCTTCTACGTTGGCGACGTGATCCAAAACGACGTGTGATTCGCTGCGTTCTCAGCTTCGTTCCTTATTATTAATATGCTCGAAGTGGAAATAGACGGACAGCGGCGCGGGGGACAGATAGAGGAGAAAAGAAAAAAGTTGGTGGAAGAAAGATGGAGCGAGCGAGAGAGAAAGAGTCGTTCCCGTGGGTGTGACCTCGTGTAAATTCGTTTTCCATAAATCTCTCTCCTACCACTCTCTCGTGCGCGCACACACGACCTTTGTATAAACGCCGAGATTCGCCGAGCCGAACGAAACCGGTTTCGTCAAGCAACGACACCGAACGATTTTCAACCGTAGTCCCGCGAGAACGTGTGTAGACGAGAAGAAAGAGAGAGAGAGAGATCCTCGTGGGTTATCGGGAGAGTAATTCCAGGTGACCTTAAAAGCGGTTCCCTTCGTCAATTAGATCAAATTATTTTACCAATGCGGTCGAACAAGGTTTTCTGCTTATGCGCATGCTCCAGATCGAATCGGTCGCGGATCGAGAGACATGCGCGCGCCTCCGATCTCCGATTACCAGTATGCCTATTCGAGCAAACGTGTCCGTTTAACGTTTATCCTCCTCTTTCCTTGCTTCTTTACTCTCCTCGCGTCGATTCTAACCTCTATTTGTCTCTTGTGTCTGTCTCGTATCTTTCAAAGACAACCTCGTGTATGTTGCAAGAGGGAGAGAGCGCGAAAAAAAAGCGTCGTCGTCGTTGTCGTCGTCGTCGTCGTCGTTGTCTACAGTGCTCCGGATCTTCGTAACCTTCACCGTCGTTAATTGCGGTAAAACAACCGGCTCCTGTCTGCCGTCTTGATAGCGTGCGTGTTAATTCGAGACCAGTTAGATATAGTTACAGAGTAAGTTCTCGTGTTGCGACGGCAGAGAGACAGAGAGCGATCGTTCGCGGTAAAAACGTGCTCGCCTAATCTCACGAGTTACACCGAGTCGCACACACACTGTATTATACTACTGTCGCGCGAGAATCGAGCGACTCGTTTCGTAAAAATTCCTCACTAGTCGATCGGACGATAAAAATCGTTTCAGGAACGTTCCCGTATCCTTCGTTCTCCACGTGAAATAAAAGTTCGATGTCAGTTCGAACGATCCGCGCACATATCGTCGATCACGAGACAGAACACCGCGCTCTCGCCCTTATCACGACCACCAGAAATCCCCGACTGATGCGTCTCCTCGATCCGCAACGCGTTCTTCCTCCTCGATAGATCACTCTACGGAGGCACTTTACCAACAGCGAGTCAACGTGTGGGTCGGTAAAGCAGGTCGGTACAGACAATTTTATTACCTCGTTCCTTTTCTTGCCACACACGTATATCCTTCTCCCTGGTAGACCGACGTTCTCCTATCGAAGAAAACCGCGATTCAATTCCTTTTTCCCACTTGATATTCAAACAAATTTTACGCTTTAGACTTTCCAGACATGCACTTTCGAGCTTTGACACCGCACCGGAAAGCTTCGATATACTTGAAACGAGCTTGTTCTTTCGTCAATCGAGTATCCGGCATAGGAAAAGCAATGGTACCAAACTCGTGTGGTGTCTTATTCGTTCTCCGATCAGTTCACACCGGAACACCGGCGTATACGTGCCTACTCGGCGAAGCAGCGCACGCACAGGATGGAAAAGTCCACTGGGCACTGCACTTTTTGCACCGGCAGCCTGCACCACGCGCACACCTGCACTCACGAGCACGACACACACGTCACTTTCTGCTCATATGTGCACGACACCTATCAATCTGTCTCTTTCCCCTTGCGATACTCCTCTCTTTCTCCACCGCTGTCGTTCCTTCGCTCTTCGCGTCGCGCTCTTTTTCTCTCTCTCTCTTTTCTTCCCTCGCCACTATTGTTTCTTTCTCTCACAGTTTCGTTCCCTCGCTCCTTCTGTCTCTCTCTCTTTTTCTCACTCTCCCACTTCTCTCTTTCACTCGTCTGCTGGTCGTGCACAGCCGGTCTACGTGCTGACTACTAACCGTGGTCCAAGTCTTCAACTTCTTTCCCTTTTTCTTTTCTCTCTATTCCGCCTTCGTCTACACTTTTCTCTTTCTCTACACTCTCTTCCTACTCCCTCGAACGAGTTTATCTGTTTATTCGCGGTACAATAGAGAGAACGTTCGCAAGTTTTTTCGGCTTTCACTCGTTCGGTGTCTTCGAATTCCCCCCCCGAGGAAGTACACATACACCGCGTAACAGCAGCACCACGAATTTCCCGTGCGATCACCGGTCACGTACGATACTTGGCACGGACTCCCTCTCTCTCCCCCTCTGGCTGTCCGATCTTCTTGTCTCCGGGTTTCTTCTGCCTTTCCACCTTCTGTCGACCGATCGTTGCCGAAGCGTACGACAATTTTTTCCCACCGACGCGCGACGCCCGGTTCCCGACACACGTTCTCCGCTGACTTTACCTCGCCGTTGCCACCGGCCGCGATCATGCATCTACGCGGACGATTTCCTGCCAGAGAAAATATCTCCGGCGGCTCGGCGCACAGCTGACCGGCCGGTCCGCCAAGTTCGGTCAATAGCCATAGCAGTCGCAGCCTGCCGAGGGTTGCTCGTGCTCGACCGTCGGCGTTACGCTTCGGCCCCTTCCGCCTTGTTTCGGCTCTCTCCGTGGCCTTTACGCGAGCCACCTCCGTGCACATCGTACGCCGGACCCCGGGCTTGCCGACGAACGATCGAAGCGGCTTCGTGGAAATTCTTCGGCCATTCTACTGCGCTCTCGGCTTACACGCTTCTCACGCTCGGAATACCCGTCTTATTTCACTTCACCGTCACATACAAGTATCCCTGTTCGTTAACGAGTACGAATATTTCTTTAACTTCTCCCGATTATCGGGGGCACGTAGATCGATACACGTCTTTACCAATCGAGAGACGCGAGGAGGCTTGCGATTATCGAAACTCTATTTATCGCCTAATTGGTGGCAGAGGTTGACGGTTTTTATCGAGTGAACGCGAGATTGTCGAAAATTTGCGTTTTAACATCGTCACAGATACCTCGTAATATCTTTCCATTTCTTTATTCCCTTTCTGTATACGTATATACATAAAATAAGTATCGATATATTCACCGGTGAGTAGAGTTAACGCGATTCTAGGTTAGGAACTATCGTAACGTGGATTAATTAAAAACGATCATCGAATCGCAATCGGTCTGTCAACTCTGGCTTATCCTTATCTGGGACCAGCTGCGATAAAGTCTACCAAACGAGCGCATCTGCAGTTTCTAAGTAACACGAGGACGGAATAAAGATCCGTGGTTAAACGAGCTGATGCAAAAGTCACGTTCACGACTGAATCGCGCTGGACCGAATTCCCTAGTACACGAGAAGAGAGCTACGTGTCCACATATGTAGGAGAAACGATTTCGATCCGTTCGCGTCGAACGTAGATCTCCTCCGTGTTCTACGAGTCAAAAAGATCCGGAATAGATAAAAGTTCCATCGGGTCGAAAGCGTAAAAATAAACCGGTAATAAAGACGGAATCGCGGTGTGCCTCGAGAGAGTAAACCTCTTCGAAAAGTCCTCGAAAATTCAATGGACGATGCTTCTCTTCTCTGTTACGTTAGCGAAAGAGGAGAAGAACGAAACGAACGAACGAATCGCACCATCTCCCCCCACCCTTCACCTTCCTCGTTTTCTTTTCGTAGTGTCGTAAATGTCAATGCTGACGGTGCCAGAATCAGATTTCATTCTTTACGATCAGCCTTTAAACTCGCTCTTATCGCGAAAGCGTTGCGTGAGTGCGTGCGACACACCGTCGAGTGCGTACGCACGTGCTCTCGCGCGCACCGAGGGCCTCCGCTACTCGAGTCACATGAAAGGGCCGCGCGTGTACTTGAAAGGGAAGAAAGGGACGTGAAAGTGAAAAGCGACTTTCCAAGGCAAAACGGAGGGGAAGAGAGGTGGGTGTTGGTGACGGGAAGGGAGGGCGGTAGGGTAGGAGGAGGAGTGGGGAGAGAGGAAGGGCCACGACACAAGGATCCCCGGACGTAGGATGATCGAATCCGGCCGCGCAGGCGTCCTCCGTTCGAGTGTCCTGTTCAAGGTCACAGTACCAACCACGTACCAACCCTTCGGGCTGCGTGCAAACACGAATGGGTGGACCGATCGATTTCGCAATTGATAGACCCTTTCCCAGCGTGCAACCCCCTCGACGTTAGAATTTTGCCCACGGATTAAATTTCCAGGGACCAGTCCCTTGTACGTAGTTATACACACTTCGACGCTTTCTTGGTATTCTCCTTAACTCTTTCGATATTACATCATTTCTTGTTTTTCTAATTATCAACCGTTGTGTTTTATAAATGAACTTGCAAAAACTGTTCAGCTGTATTCTCGTTTGTATACAAATTACGTATTTATCTATCCAGCTATAGTTACCAACGTTGCACGCAGTATCTCGCGTGTTTGACTGCATAATAAAGACATTAGGGTAATAACAAGAATAACAGTGGGAATTACTAGTGGGATAGAGCGGACGTTTTAGCTTCCAAGATGTTCAGCACTGGAAGGGTTAACGGTTCCGTGAACGGTCTCGTATAAAGCCCTAAAGCGCCTTCCTTTCGTCAAGGTCTTTTTAAAGAGATAAGGATACCGCTCGACTCCTCCGTATACTACTACGCGAGCTCCAAGTAGAATGATGACGTTAATGGACAGCCGGAACGGTGCGGAGGTATTCCCGGCTGAACGATTCGGTGGATTTTCCTGGTGTACTACTACTGGACCCTCTCTCTCTCTCTCTCTTTCTCTCTCGGAGAGTGAACCGCTTCGCCGTTCGGAGCATTCTGCGTTTAAGGTGTGCAGCATCGTGAGAGGGAAGAAATTCCTAGATATACATACGTGTACGTAGAGAGAGATATATCCGATGGTCGATGTTGCGGCAAGAATCGCGTTTCCTTTTCGCGTTGCTGCTCGCGGTGGTATGTTTCGAATCAGGTCGAAAGAGGCGCGGCGCGCTTTTCACGCGCGCTCCACGCGTCTTATTAAATATCTCTATTGCGCGAACCTCGGCTTGATAACTTTCAACTACGCGTAGCTGCCTCCGAGACTCGTGAACAGCCACCAACCAAGCCTGGTGAAATAAAAGTCTCTCTCTCGTAGCAGCAACGGCGGCAAAAACTCGCTTAGCCAGATGCTGGTAGCGGAGAAAACAGCGCGAGAACAGAGAATTTTACGCGTGGCCTAAACCGCCTGACATCGACACGCCCAACAGAGAGAGAGAGAACCTCCCGGATCGTAGAGCCCGAAACTTGAACACAGAGAGATGTTGCGTGGCTGGTGTCGTTAATGTGTCACGCATCGTTCGATGGATCAGCGATGAGTTCAGCGAGGTCGATCGATAGGATCGTTACACACACGCACACGACGACGACGACGACGACGATATTTGCTCGATTATAAAAGAGGACCTTGTCGCCATCTTTCATTTTCTGCATAACGAATCTTATCTGTACGATGGTCGTGCACGACCGCGTATATCGAACGATACGAGCAAAACAAAGATATTTTTTCCGCGACGCTCTACTTCGGCCACGATTAGTCGCGAGCATTTAAATGGACATCGCGATAACAATACGAGGCACATTCTGGTGCGCTCGCCTGACTTGCCTGCCGGGTGTATCGCAACTGCTCGAAAACGCTCGAGGAATGTTTATCGTACGCGATAGAGATAGAGCTCGTGATTCTTTTCTTTTTTTTTCTTATTCAAGGTAAATAACGAAGTATCGTCGGTGTCGGCGGCTCTCGTCCGTCGAACACGTATAGTGCACCGTGTTCTCTCTCCCTCTGGTTTGCTTCCGTCAATGTTCAAATACGTTAACGTGACGAAAACACGGTCCGGTGCACTCGTATAACAGAGAAGGCCCTTCCATTCCTTTTTTCTTTCTTTCTGCTTTTTATTCCGCCGCGTTTCGTCGTCGTTGACCGATAGTTTCCGTACCGATCCGCGTCGCGAGACTATCGAAAGAACCGACGCGCGAATTAATTCACTACGGCAGAACGAGAAACGACGATCGAGAGAGCTCTGTGTCCGAGTCGATTCCATCGATGCGCACAGCTGGTTACGTAACCATGTAAATTGATTCGTAAAGATTCATGCCTGGTGTGTCGTGCCTTTTTTTTCGCTGTTTCGTAGATACGTGTCGGCAGACGTTGAATGGAGACGGATTAACGTGGCTCTTTAAACGGTAGATCGATGAAATCCGTGGAAATAACGAATTTCAGATTTCTTGCTATTCTAACCCTTTCACTGCTGTTGGGTGTCTATAGACGGTTTGAAAATTTTTGATCCTTCGTATGTCTGTCCTTTGCGTGGTTGCACCTTAATTTAACAAAAGAAATTTGGAAAGGATGAATCTTGAATTTGAATTTTAGAATATTTTGAAAATTCTTAAACTGAAGATTTCGCGGCCGGAATTATCTGTCGTCTGCGTTACGTCAGCGAAAGGGTTAATTAGAGAAACGATCGAGTTACCTTGTCCAAGTATATAGCGACTATTGTCGAAATAAAGAAACAATTATACGTACGAATTTATTTTTACACGTTTACGATCGTTCTAATTCCGTACGTTCTTTAAATATACCAGACGAGAGAAAAAGGATTGGCTATACCGAAGCGCGATTGTTCTAGCGTTAACAACGGTTGGAGTACTTGGTCTTAATCGTCGGCTCGAAAAACGTCAATTTATCTCTAGTCACGAATTATTAACCTGCCGTACGGTGCGCGCGATCACGATTCAAAGAACGGCGAACAATGACACAGAGAGGAAGATAGGAAGCGTGGGCGGGTTAGAATTCTCGGTAATCAAACGAGTTACAGCGGCGGCGTTACATAATCGGCGAAATTGCGGGTGCCTCGACGATAATAATTAACAGCCGACGTAACTGCCGAACGGAAAGTGGTCGGTCGCTAGGAAACGTGTACGTGCTGGATCCGCGGGAGAATCGCGTGCACGCGTCCTTCGGTTTATGCATCTCCCATTCGCGTATCTTCGTACGAATCGTTTTGTAGAAAGACGCAATAGGTGAATCGCGGAGATTCGATACTGTGGAATTTTCTGTGTGGTGTCAAAAATGGAAACACCTTGATGGAGAGTACGTTGAAATTTTGAACGGTGGAATTTCAGAATGGAAACACCTAGGTGGAGAATAGGTTGAAATTTTGAACAGTGGAATTTCGAAACACCCATGTGGAGAATACGTTGAAATTTCAGAATGGAAGCACCTAGGTGGAGAGTACGTTGAAATTTTGAACAGCGGAATTTCGAAATGGAAACACCTACACTACCGGCCAAAAGTTTGGAATCACCGAGCATTGCAATGTACAGAAAAATTTCCTGAAAAAAGTCAGCGAGTTTGAGAATTGTTTATCGTTCGGATCACTTGATATGAGACAAATTGATAAATGTAGAATTGAGATAAACTTCAAATCTATAGAAAATCGGTGGCGGATTTAATATTGATGAAAAGTGGGTGGGGATTCCAAACTTTTGGCCGGTAGTGTATGTGGAGAATAGGTTGAAATTTTGAACAGTGGAATTTCGAAACACCTAGGTGGAGAGTACGTTGAAATTTTGAACAGTGGAATTTCGAAACGGAAACACCTATGTGGAGAATATGTTGAAACTTGAAACAGTGGAATTTCGAAACACCTAGGTGGAGAATAGGTTCAAATTTTGAACAGTGGAATTTCGAAACACCTAATGAGAATAGGTTGAAATTTTGAACGGTGGAATTTCGAAACACCTAGGTGGAGAATACGTTGAAATTTTGAACAGTGGAATTTCGAAACACCTAATGAGAATAGGTTGAAATTTTGAACGGCGGAATTTCGAAATGGAAACACCTGGAGAATACGTTCAAACCGGAAGAAGATGCAGGGTGCTTCAAAACAGTGGGCATAACTTGAGGGATGAATTCAGTACGCTAAAATAAGAGAAAACAATTCGTATAAACGTATATACCCGATGTGACCCTGTTCTTTTGCGAATTATAGCCTTCTTTCACGATACTTGTTATTCAATAATTTTCGTAGAAATTGTTCGAAGTGGCCACCCTCGGCTAGAAATGCAGGCTTCCAAACGTCGTATCGTAGATCTCATTCACGTTCAAGAATACCAGGTGTTGTTTCAATTCGCCGAGACAACTCTCTTGAATACGATATATCGCAGTTCCTCAACGTTGTTTACCGGTGCGTTGTGAACCAAAGACCTTAGGTGCCCCCGCAAATAAAAGTCCGTGCAGAAATCAAACAACAGATTTAGATCAGCCTGGCCAATCAATTGTAAGAGACGAACGGCTATAATTCGGAAACGAGGTCATATTGGTTTCCAAGCATTTTTGTTTCCTATTTCGGCGTACTGAATTCATCCCTCAAGTTTCGAAACACCCTGTGTATACATGAGCTATCCATGTGTCGTGTCTACCTTTCGGCAAAGAAGAAGGAACTGACGAGCAGGTCGTTTTAATTCAATGGAGAACGCGTCATCGCCGCAACCCTCGATCGACTCGACGCCGCGAGATACATATCCTATTCTCATCGCGTCGGCTCCATCCTTTACCCCGGGAATCCCGAATTTCCCATAGCAACGTGACGGTACACTCCATTACCCATGACCTCCGCCCTGAGCCTGGGGGCTTCTATATCTGCGAATCAATGCAGCTCCATTGCGTGCATCCCGGCTTTACATGTGTGTCTCTACATGGCTATGCGGGTGTGTGTGCTCACGCACACGCACAGGCACGCGTATATGAGTCGCCGAAATGCAGCCGCCGGTAGCCTAATCGAAATACGGATCCACGACGTCACGCGATGCATCGTGCCAGATAGCAAAGAAGCAGGCAACCGCCGGTGATCGATTTCTCTCGCTTATTTTCCCTCTTCTCTATCCTCCGGCCAGACCGCCGCGCTTCGTAATTGAACGTGTTACAACTGGAGAAAATAGGGAGACAGAGAGTATACAGACGGACTGTCTGTCTGTATAGGAAGGAGAGAACACGTTGAATTAACGGGGTGAAACAAGAAAAAAGCGCGAGTGCTCGACGCGATGTCCTGGATCGCCACTATCCGGGGAAAATCGGATAAGAGTGGCCACTCATTTCCCCGTGGCCAATTTAAATACATTAATTTTAGCACGAAGGTCGAGGGGGAATCTCCAGTGGAAGAAAGAGAGAGATAGGGATTCTAGTTTTATCCACGACTTCCTCGAGAGTCGGTGGAACATTGCCGGAATAACTCCGGTATACCTTGTATCTCCGGCAAATACTGATGCGTTGTAAATCGGTTACGCGTCAACGTTCGTTGGCGATGTATTTAAAAGAAGAAACGAAACCGGGAGAAAAGCATAACTAGGAGGGAAACGTTTCGATCGGTGTTACGCTATCGAGGAGTTCATCCGTACGACGAGGTTTATTAACATGTCCACGCGTTTCCTCTTTCCGTCAATTTGAATTCACACACGGTCGCGCTGACGCTTCGCGCGTAACGTGAATAACCGAAAGAGTAACTATGCTCGCGAGCAGATAGCTCGAGGTCCGCGTTATCGCCAGGAACACGCGTCTCTTTCTATCCCTCTCTCCTCTCTTCCTGTCGCTTCTCCCTATCACACTCTCTCTTCTCTTTCTCTCTTTCGACGCTTCTTCCATCAATTCTTTCTCCACCCATCCATCTCCCTCCCTCTCCCCTCTCTCTTCATTTATTCCCCATCCATTTACGAATTCCGCGAATGGTCAGAGAACGAGTAAATCCGGGGAAAACCTAGAGGATCCCCGTGGAGGTGCAAGGGAATTCTCGCGCATAACGTGAACAGCAAAGAGCACCGCGTCGCCGTCGCACACACGCGGCGATAGCTCGCGAGGTCAACCGCGGGGTGAATGAAAGAGAGAACGGCGAGCGTTGTTGAGAGAATCTCGAAAGAAATCAACCTCGAGCACATGGGGTTATAATTTAAGAGAAGGAAAAAAGAGGAAAAGTTAACGAACCGTCGTAAGTTTAGACAGGCCAGACAGATGGTGCACTTTCCATACGTACCGAAGTACACGGCGAACTTTCCTCAAGCGAAACGTTAAAACCGTAGGTGAATAGAAGAAACTCGAACCGTGGGATCTTAGAAAAATGATCGAACGAGACGGTGCTCCCGTGCAACGACCGCTCCTTTCTCTCGCGAGAACCGACAAGAAAACAGCCTCCTCGAGAAGAGAAAAACCACCGAGGAGAGAAAGAACGACACTGGCTCGATTGTAGAGAAGAGTTGGAGGTGCGTTGAGAAAATTCGAGGCTGAAATTGAAGGCGGAAAGGAGAAGAGAGAGAGAGAGAAAAAGAAGAACATGAGAACGAGCGGTCTGGTGGTGCTCGAAGGTGCTCCGAAAGAGAGAACTCGCCTTTTGCTCGAGGTGGACGAGTTAATTTTAGTTTAATCGACCGACCTGATACCGAGGAGGCTCGCTTACGAGCCGCGGTGCACGTACGTACGTAAGTAGGTATACCGTAGGTATGGTACGGATAACAAGAGTAGAAGCACGCCTCGTATACACACGGAAGGACGTTGCTTTACGTTGCCGGCTTACGTGTTACCTCGACAATCGCTGCTTTTCCCCACCGTGGAATTCACTTCCGAGTTTCCCGACCCTTGAACAACGCGTCACCGCTGGTCAGGATATGGGAATCTCTACGTGACTCGCCGGCGCCTGTATCTACCACTATCGAACACTTGCGATTCCAACAAGTCGCTTTTATAAAGGCAATTTATTCGTTGCTTCTAGATTTACCAATGAAAATTAACGATTAACGCTAGAACGACCGACTTTCCAAAAGTCGTATCGATGCAAATAGGAATCTGATTTAGCAGAGTATGAAAAAATACGCAAGCTTCGTCGCGCTGTTAACACGTTTCGCACCTACATACGACACGTCGAGATTCTTCTACCTAATACACTCGCAGACGGTATCTAACGAAATTACACGAAAAAAAAGACTACGTATCTCCGGTGTTACACGACCGTCGTTGGAGCGATAACGCGAGAAAGAGACACGTAGCTTCGCGTGAGCATCGCGAAATGTGTTAAAGGGTTAAGCTTAACCGGATGACACACGGAGCTCGGCTGCGAGAGGCTTCCGTTTCGGAGTCAAAGTGCATTCGGATCGGCTGTGTAAATGGGGCGGGCGAGGGGGGAGGTTCGAGGTCGTTCGGATCGAAATCATTCAATTAAGGTCACAGGCTGCGGAACAATCGTCGGAGGGCCCTCCGCGTCGAACGACGAACCGCAGAAAAGACACTTTCTCTCCCCCTGCGTCTCTCTTATTTGAACTCCTCCGCGATCGTGGTTGATTAAAAGATCGTCGATTCCATTAACGATCGTGCCTGCGACGCACAGTGGCGGCTGGTTAGCGAGAAATACGGAAGTTAAATGCTCCCTTGGCGTTAAGAATGTACAGGGCGTTCTCCCGAGACGAATCGAATACAAATCAGCGGAGGGAAGGTCCAAGTACCTGGACGAATAACGAGTGTTCGCGAACGCGCAAACTGCCGGAGAGAGGTGCGAATCCGAGGACTTCCGCGATGGCGCCGGAAACTGAGGATAGAAAGAATTCCTCGCTACGTTAGACGTGTCGGCTGAAAAGTGGAAAAACTCGAGCATCTGATGGAAAGACACAGAGGGCGAGAGAGGGGATAGAAACGGGGGAAGCCGGAAATCGAGGAAAAAAGGGGGGAAAGCGGCGGAAGGGCGAAGCGCTTGCGCGACGACGAGCTCGTTTCCATGGCTTCGTTCGTTTCACGTAGCAACAGGAGGACTTTTGACCCCGTTCGATTGTCCTTCGAAACAACTCGGTGTGCCTCATCGTTTTCTCCCGCTTTGTCGGCCGGGTGAGGTGAAACGCATCGTTGAGCCGCACTTAGGCGTCACTCCTCTTTTAAAAGCTTATCGCTTCGTGCCGTCTTCTTCGATCGCACTCCTCTCTCTCTCTCTGTTCGGTTAATGTACATACAACTTGCCAGTATGTAATTCGCTTTTCTAGCTTAACCGTTCTCTCGCTGCCAACGATGCACGAAATTCGTCGTACAGCAACGGAGAGGTTGGACAGAAGAATTCTGACCGCGTGAAATTTTGGCGATCGTTCATCCTACTCTCGAGGAAGAAGAAAGAGAAGAGAAAAAAAGGCGGGTCCTAAGGTCGGCGAATTTCGAAAGCGTTTCTCGATCAAGAGTGACGCACGAGTTTAATTTTACGAGCGGATCGATGCGCGAAGAAAGCCACGATACGGACGTTAAGTGGCACGTAGGTACATGAACGTGTAGTACAAGAGCTGAGGAGCGTGGAAGAGAAATAATTTCAATACCCGTCCGATTACGCTGTAGACTCGAGAAAATTACGTCTGGATCGCTTTCCAAGATAGAAGCCACCGGCAATTTCGCAGACGAACGTACCGCGATAACGATCGAAGAATAACTTGAACGTTTCCCTCGGATTAATTTAACCCGATTGCCAGCTATTTTCTCGTGGAAAACCACCGCTGACTTTCCCAATGGGACTTCTCACGGCACAGAGGAGTATTGCGCCCGCAAACTCCCGGGCCAAATTGCGATCAGCTGTTCCAACATAAATCGCCAGCCGCGACCTCCAACACGCGAAATTCCTTTTCGGTACGAAGGAAGAAAAGGTGGAATTTTTTCAGTCGAGTTCCCTGACTCTTTTTTTTTTTTTTTTTTTTTTACCCTCGACGTGTGCTCGAACAGGGACAGACTCCTTTTGAACCGGCGGAACGAAAAAGTCGCCGATTCATTTGGAGAAGAAAGGAAATATCTTGGCGGAATGAATAGTACGGTCCTCCTTTTCTTTCAGGTCGCACGAGAGGCGTACTTTGATGCGACTCTTTCATCCACCTTCTTTCCAAAGTCCACGCTTTTTCCCCACGCTCGGTAAGTATGCGATTGCACGATTCCGACTTTCACTCCTGTTTCCTTTTCCTATCGAATTAAAGAAAAAAGAATTTTACACCTTAAGATATATCTTGGCGGAATGAATAGTACGGTCCTCCTTTTCTTTCAGGTCGCACGAGAGACGTACTTTGATGCGACTCTTTCATCCACCTTCTTTCCAAAGTCCACGCTTTTTCCCCACGCTCGGTTTCTACCGTAAGTATGCGATTGCACGATTCCGACTTTCACTCCTGTTTCCTTTTCCTATCGAATTAAAGAAAAAAGAATTTTACACCTTAAGATGGCTCTTTCGATCTCAGTCGCTTTTAACCACACTTCGATTTCACACCGTTTTCCACGCTGCGAATATATACTTTCGAAACGGTGACTTGTCGAAAAGAATCCAACTAGTTGATATTGTCTCTCGTTAATCTTCAACGATACACACGAGAGATTAAATTTCCGAGTGAGAAATGAATCCAGCTGACAGGTTAAAATAGACAGTCGTCGCGTGTCCGCGAGATCGAGTAATCGAACGCTCTGAATCGGAGTCGCAAGGACGTATCGAGTCGGACGTAGGTCATGGAACAGTGCACGGCTTCGAATACGTGTCTTAGTGACAAAGAAAGAATTTCATTTTATCGGGCAATTCTTCTTTTTATTCCGCATAGAACGAGGGAATCGTCGGTTCGAACGTGACACTAACACGTAAGCAACACGTACGTATGTACGTACATTGTCGTGCTTAAACATTGAGGTTAAGTGTCCCGCGTAATCGAATGCATCGATTTTCGATGATTAGCCGCGGGAGGCCTCTAGTGTATTCCCGCGCGATTACGTCTGGGAGCAAAAGAGCGTGCAAAATGGTCGTTCCGCGCGTAAGCGAGATTACATCAACCGTATCTCCAATTTCTGCTTTCTTTCGTTCTTACGATTTTACGGTGCGAGTGAGAAAAAACGCCGCCTCGACTCGTGCCCGTCCCGCCTGTATACGTGATCGCAGCACGCGCGCACGCCAGTTTCCTTTTCCGAGCGTGAAATCCAATGAAACGTAAGTAATTTCGTTTGCACAGTTGCCAGCGTATGATATCTGCCGGGCGTGCATCACCGATATACGAAGAAAGGTCTGTGTTCGTCTACCTCTCCTCTCGCTAATTCTGTATCTTCCACGTATTCGTGCGAGCCGCATCTATATTGGGCATATACGCTCGTTCAAGATGCACGAATTATGGAACAGTTCTGCTGGACTTATCGCGTCGAGATACGATGCATCGCGAGGCCTCGTCGATGCCTGTTCGAATCAGATGATCCCGAGACGTATATACGTATCGTCGAAACAATTCGAGCAACGAAAGAATTCACGAATGTCGAGGGCCGATAGAGGAATAAAAGTTATTTTAAAATACGAACGATATATAATACGTGGGAGAGTAATCGAGGGGGAGGTGGAGACGAGAGCCCGGTCTATTTCTCGCTTTGCAATTAGAAGAGTAAATAACAGAGGTAGGATTATTAATAGACGTTAAATAGTATCGATCCGATGCACGAGAGTATAATGGTCGTGGCTCGGTGAATATCGAACAAGTTTCGTAAAATTTGAACGATGTAGGAACAGAGCTCGTCGGAAGTAGATACGTTCCTGGGTCGTACGATGGTAAAACGTCGGTGGTGGGGAACAAGAGGGACAGGAGAGGGTTGCGGAGTTTCAGAAAAGAAACTGCCGGCCGAGCTGGAAACGAACGCGCGGTAAGGTGAAGGGGGACACGATAGCACGCCACTTGAAATCACCGCGACTGTATGTGTTACTATGCTACGGTGCCGCCCTCGATGGTGATCGAGGAAACGACGATGCACCGTGTTATCGAACTTCGTGATTTGCCTTCAAAGAGGGCGGCCCCATCGTCGAGTATTTTTTTTACGCGGTCGGTACAACTTGCAATTCTCGAATTGCATTTCAAAAAAAAAGTATCGTTCGATATCTCGATACTTTGTTTATTGCGATACTCGAAATGTTTGAATCGGCAGTTGAAAATGGTCGTTCGTGGTTGCTTGCGTTCCGTAGTAATGTTCTGGTTTTTTGTGCGACTTTAAACGCGATTGATGTTTATAACTGTACTCTGAAAAGCAGTTTGTTTTGGATCTACGTGCGACGTGAACGTTCGTGAGGTAAGTCTCCTTGAGACGTGGACTTTAGTGCAATAACATGTGTATATAGTCTTGCTATCCATAAAAGTATTAAAAGCACTCACCTTTACACTTGACCCCCACTTTTCCAGTGCCCCAAACATAATCTTCACCTGGAATAATTAATAAATTAAGTACCTAATTGTAAAAAGGTGTAGTTTATAGTGTCGTGCGATACTTACAATGCTTACAAAGGATAGGGGTTAAAAAATATACATCTATGAGGACGTGATTGTTTTTGGGTTCTGTGTTAGCGGACTCGGCTACATATACTGTAACGATAAAAAGTGCGAATTGTTAGATATTTCGACTAGATCATTTTTACCGTAAATTTAGACGATTAAATACCGTATGGCCCATTGCTGAGGGTTACATAAGACGACTCTTCTTCATCATGAGTGTCTAAGTACGGTGATAGGGTTCCTTTCAGCATTAGGACTTCCTCGTGTGTACCTTCAGCGTCTGAAAACGAAACGATCGTCTTGAAGATTTTATCGATGAAATTAACAATTTTTTAACTTATAAAAAAATTTCGTACCGGTACAAAATCTTCCTCTGGGCTCTTCCGTTGCTCACGAGCACCGTTTTTCTTTCCTCCAAAATGGAGCGTTATCCGAAGTTTATTAAGAAACGATCACATTAACATATTATTTTCTCCATGGAAAAATATATTAGAGTTAACTCATTTGTCAGTCATACATGGTATGTAAAAATGAGTAATTTTGCACAACACTATAATCACAGAACATAATCTCTCCTGACTGTTGTGCATGCCTCTTCTCAGACTTAAAATTTCTGTTTCTCTTTAGGTATACCACAAATTGTGTCAGAACAGATTCTTATTGAATACTCGATGTACACTACTTAAGAGTATTTGTAATTGTTTGAGCATAGTTTAAAAAACTGATTCTTTACCAAAGATAGAGAAACACTATATGTAGTTATTATATATCCTTTCTTGGAACTAATTTGATTCTCTTGTTGATTATATCAAACGGCACCACAATTATCAAAAACTTACAGTAACTCTCATTTAAGGCTACTCGCGTGTATACATAGAATTATATTCAAAAATCTTGCTTGATAAATATATATTTATATTTATATTTATATATATATATATATGTGTATAGCGATGTATGTAATGATGAACTATGATGATATTTTGAGTGTCAGCTTCTCTGAACACACAAAATCTATCAAAGTAACTTGATATGAACACAGTGATAACTTAGTCATGCATGACAATGTGATGCATCATGAATTTATCATTCTTTCTTGCATTTGTTTCGTGGAGATCCACTGTTCAAATGTACCTCTTCTTTTGCTTTGGATATTTATTTCATGCCGTTTCATATCCACAATCACCTTCTCAAGCCTACTGCAATTCCTGTAACACAAACCAATACTTATGAACTCCCTTGTCCAGTCCTGTGTAGCTTGCAATAACAATTCATAGCATATTACAGCCATACTCCAATCAATTATCTTTATTCAAAATACTAAGAACACAGTAACTGACGTATAATCAAGTCTATATCACAGAAAAAATATATATAGAAAATCCTCGTAAAGCTCGAGTAATTTATAGTCATATTTATGTTACTTTTTGCGACAAAAAAAGGAATAATACGAAAAGCATCATACGCCTATGCAACCAATGACGCGAATGGCGTACTTGACGCTTGAAAGTAGCCAAGTTTTCGTCAACGAAATATCATTCTTTTATGAAACCTTTTACTCGGCTTTACGATAAAATAAACCTACGAATATCACGACAGTTCGTTTCGGTCACATGGTGACTTTTACACGCGCAGAATTGCACAGCGCACGCCTTCAATGATGGATAGCGTAGCGAAGTTTACACGCGTGATAAGTAAATAATCGCGAACGTATCGCTTCATGAACTCTCATAAAGCGTTCACTTTTCAATCGTTTATAGACATGTTTTCTGCACACCGAAGAACACAACGCCCAAAAATGATCCGGAGAATATTAGGTTTCTTACTGGCAAGAAACTCAGCGAAACGATTGGCAGGGATGCGAGAACGAAAATTGACAATACAGGCTTCGTGGAACCGATTAAACGTCGGAAACACTACCTTCGCACTTCGGCACATCAGGTCCTCGAGATTTTGAGCTTCTGGTGTCGACGGATCGACAGGAAAACTTCGAAAGACCGAAAGGTAAGTGACAAAGAATTGTTTCCCTTGATCGCAACACGTACGAACACGGTTAGGCCAGGCTAAGCAGCTGAGGGCGCTGCAATTGATCATTGCTTACGTTTTGCCAGGATGAGAAACCTATTCTTCAAAATTTATACTCGATTCATTTTGCTTTTTATTTGCTCGCATGTTCTTTCGATTTTTTTTAAATATTCTTTGACACAGCTGGAAATACATGATTACTACGTATAAATTACTTTTTCAACTGACGATAACCACAATTGTAAAAGGTTAATTAACTGCAATTTCATTCATGAATCATTGAATGAAAAAATTAATAGCTGCCTTCACGTTTCTTTCGTCGAAATAGATACAACTGAAAGAGGAGTTATCATAAGGAAAATGATGTTCTGTAAAGCAGAAATGGTAAAATAGAGAAGTGACATGTTGGGGTCCCTAGATCTATCCCCACCATGTCGCAGTTAGTTCTCTATAGGTATATTACAGAACACGATCAGGTTGACATTTGTCTTTTTGTTCTCACGTGGATGAGGCATACCGTACTTTCGTGAGACAACGTTCACTTCCTAATATAGAAATTCAGGGCACGGTGAACAAAGTTACGGCGTTATCATGGTTCGTGTAATTAGTCAGGAAACTTACGATGAAGTTGTTAATGAAAATATGGAGCAATTCTCGATGTCTCCCGAGGAAGCTATTGAAGACGCAGTAAAACAATTCGAAGCTCAGGTATTGCAATTTGTTTACCTTTGTTTTTCTGACATAAAGATCAGTGAAAAATGTTGATTAATTCATTGTCAGTGTTACCTTCAATTGTACAGTTTATCGCTTTAAGATATCGTGAAAAATTCGAGTGTTATTCGATACATAAAAATTTTGGAAATTTCAATTTTGGCAAATAGCGGGCCTATTATGTTAGAGGTATTTTTTCTGTGAAGTTAATCGTAGTTTTTAAGAGTTAATTGCGCCATAGTATACTTTACACACCTATTATTTTTATCTTAAGTACAAATTGATAATTCTATTCTCATACTAATAATAATTTATTACTGTTGTGAAACAATTGCAATATTGAAGTAGTTGCACACAGAAAAGTTTGCATAAGAATACTAGAATTCAAATAATCTAGAGCACATTACATAAGTACACATTGTGCCATGGTTGTTTTTATCACCTCTATTTTTATAGGGTATAGACTTAAGCAATATCATTAAAGATTTAATTATCAGTGATAGTAATGAATTGATTGATTCCTACTTGAGTCAAATTAATATTGCCTTAGAGGATAAAAGTTATGGAAATATGCCCCATATATTAGACAAATTGGGAAATGAATTAGATAAAGATATGGCACGTAGAATCTATGCAGGGAAAAAGGGAGCATATAAATCTCTGATAAAATTAACAAAGGCTTGTTGCAATAACGGCACAATAGTAAAGGCAGGACTGAAAACTACTACTTCATTGATGACTGGTAATCCAGATTTATTGAACGATGAGGGAATAGCCTTGCAAATACAGTAAGAAATTATTGATTATTATGACGAGGTATCATAGGTAATGGTTCTTCACCTATATATTACTCCATTTGTTAGAATTTTGGAAACATACCCAGACATTCCAACACTGCAATGTCTTTTACGGTGGATAAGAGAATGTTGTATTAAACATGAGCTCAATAGACAAGGTATATTCAATGCAGATATCTTTAACAAACTTAAGAAGATCTTAGTTCGTGATGATGCATCTGGGTCTGAGTTGAGAGATGCGTGTGCTGTGATCAGAGCTCTGGTATTAGACGACGATATCAGACACGAGTATGGGAAAGCTCACGAACATGCAAGTGTTATTGCAAAGGGAGCTCTTAATGTTCTTACTGGGTTAATGCCAAGTAAATAGTATTTACTCCTCAGTATGTTAAAAGGAAAACCTTTCCACAAAATTCTAACAGTTGTATTTCATTGTATATAGGATATAAAAAAGACAAAGGGGTTGTGGGTGATTTAATGATAACTTTAGCAGCTCTAATCGTGAGAAACGAATTTTGTCAGGAAGTGGAGGATGCAGGAGGGCTGAAATTCGTGGTAGATGTGATGATTGATTATCCAGATTCGGAGAAATTAAATTGGCAGGCCCTAAAATTATTGAAAGCCCTTGCTGGAAATGATAATGTGAAGTCTCACATTATAACTTCAGGCTGTGGTCCCATTATTGTCTGTGCCATAAGCCGGATGAAAGTAAGTTTGTATTAGTGTGATGTTGCTTTTTGTGAAACATGCTGTACTAGTATCTACATTAGTTTTTTAGTGTCTAGATTAGCTGTTGTACATAGTAAACAATTTTTTTGACACGTTCATCTCATATCGTAGGACTCTGAGTGTGTAGTGACTGCTGGACTTGCATGCATTTCCGCCTTAACACTGAGGTGTTCCTCAAACGCTGGTGTGTTTTACGATTGCGGCGCTCCGCTTGTAATCATTGACGCGATGAAAGCTTATCCTAAAAGCGTGCCGGTTTTGAAACAAGCTGCTTGGGCCATCCGAAATATGTCTGTACGAAACAAAGCAGAGTGTCCGGAGTTTGTTGCTCACGGTGTAGAGGATGTGTTGGCAAAAGCCCTGAAACTACACGGTCCTAAGATCGAGAACGACGTGAAGGCGGCTTTGAGGGACCTGGGATTGAAAGTAGAATTGAAGGAGAGATGGACTGGGAAGGGTGCAGGATTAAGCAACGGGGCCAGTTAATCGCCACGGTATCCTGCAAACGCTCCAGACACTTTTACATGTTTTGCTTTGAGAGAAAAGAATTACGAATAAATATTGAAAACTAACATCTAACAATAGTTT